AGAGAGAGAGAGAGAGAGAGAGAGAGAGAGAGAGAGAGAGAGAGAGAGAGAGAGAGAGAGAGAGAGAGCTCTTCTTTTTCTTCTTCTTCCTCCAGTCCACCATCTTTCCTTCACCCTCAAGCTAGCTGCCCTCTCAGTACCGACGAGAGAGAGAGAGAGAGAGAGAGAGAGAGAGAGAGAGAGAGAGAGAGAGATTTGTGACTTTGGGATGTGAACGACATTTGGAAAGAGATTCGACCTTGGGACAGAGACATTGATGGGGACTATTTGGGATCGATTTCGACGACCTTTGTGTTGACAACATGCTCATCTCCTCCTTCCTCTTCGTCTGATACCCCTCCTCTTCATCTGTGTATGGCGCATTCTTCCCGTGTGTAGCACCAGGCCCCTTCACACCTTGCGATGATGATGATGTATGTTTGGTCTGCATTGCGACATTGATTGGTCTGATCATTGGTATTTTAGCCTTCTGCTGCGCTATCCTGTACTATGTGAGAGAGGTCGGTTCTTGGTTCTGGTCTTCACCATAACGGTATGCAACAGTTTGGTACCGGAGCAGACCTCTCAATCAGAGGATCTGCCCAATCAAGGAGCCAGCTTGATTGATTGATTGATTGATTGATTGATTGATTGATTGATCGATTGATTGATTATTAATTGGCTAATCGAGTAGGACTTCGTCAACTTCCTGCAATTTTTTTTTTCTCTTTTGCTAAAGTTACACATTCGGAAGTTTCGAAATTTCCGCAAATCCATGAAATCCGGAATTCCACAAATTTCATGATGCCGCGAAATCCGGAACTCCGCAAATCTCGCGATTCCGTGAAATCCGGAATTCCACGAATTTCGTGATTCCACGAAATCTGGAATTCCGCAAATCTCGCGATTCCGCGGAATCCGGAATTCTGAAATTTTCACGATTCGGCAAAAACCGGAATTCCGAATTTTTCAGAATCCCGAAATCGTCGGAAAGTTCTGATCTTAGCTCTAGACATGTTAGGAGCTTGTCATATTCTTGGAAACTGGATCTATGCTTTTCTGAAATTTGAATCTCCATTCTAGTTTGCACAAATTTTTTTCAAAATCGCACTTTTGGAAATTCGAAATTTTGCGAAGCCTTGCCTCACTCTCCCTCATACTTTCCTCCGCAAATGCCTCACTGATATCAGATCGACAAATATTCAAAAAAAATAAAAATAAAATGGGAAGCCTTTTCTTTTTTTACTTTTTTAAGTTTTTCTGTTGATTAGGACTGGGAATGGAAAGTGCAGTTTGTTTGCCTACCTGCGTTTCTCTCCCACCCAGCCCCTTGTCTGCTTTCCTGGTTTGGTAAATCCCACGTCAGCAGTGCCACGTTAGCAGTGCCACATCAGCAGCAGTACCACGTCAGCAGTGCCCCATCACCATGCCGGCTTCAGCTTTTGACATGCCAAGCCAACTTTCCGGCGAGTCCATTGCCGAGTTCTGCAAGCAGATCCAAGATCAGCTCGCACAGATTGAGGTTGAGGAACAGCGCAAGGCAGAAGCCGAGGCTGCCTGCCTGCAAGCTGAAGCAGAGGCAGCGGCTGAAAAGCAGCGGCTTCAAGCCGCAACTGACGCAGATGCTCAGGCCCGCCGTAAGCAGGCCCGAGATCTGCTGCAGCGGCACGAAGCCGCCAGTATCGACAGGCTCAAGTTTTGGCACTTTGAACCATCTGAGGGCCACGACGACGCAACATCGGAAGAGCAACACAAGGAGTTTCTCTCCAAACTCGTGACCCGGTTGGTTTACACTTGTAACCACCTGCAGTCCGAGCTAGAGAAACAACACCAGGAACTGGAGAATCTTCGACAGGCAGTGCGGAACCACAAGGGTTTGCACGAGGATGGCCTGAATGTTCAAAGACTGGTGGCCTATCTGGGCCGCAGATCTCATCAGATCGACGGCCCAGATAGGCCGCCAGTTTTTCAAATTTCTGGCGGGCCTACCGGACCTGGTTTTATTTTTTTTGGGGCCGGGAGGCCTCCACGACCCGCATGGAGGCCTCCCAGCCCCAAAAAAAATTGACTCCCCTCCGCAATCAAGCTGCGCAAAATTCCGCCGGGGGGGAACCGGCGTGGTCCACTGGCCGGTACCACCGGCCCGGTTCCGATGGGGGAAGGGCGGCCCAGTGGGACCGGAAATTCAGCCTTGTAAATAACTAATAAGGAATAATGAATAATAATTCATCATCAATCAAATAAAAGTTAATAATTATCAATAACGAATTTTTACTTGTTGGTAGATTAGGTGTCCGTTGAGATCACCTATAGTCCGGGAGTTCACTGTTGTTAGTGAACTTCCCGGAAGTTGCAGTTCTGGGGTGCGAACTGAAAAAAAAATTTCGGACAATTAGGAAAAGGAAAAACACTCGAATTTTCGAAAAAACGTGAAAATTCGGGAATTTCAACCTAAAATAGTCCGTTTTTCAGAAGACCGAAGTCCGCATTCGGAATTTCAACAATTAGGGGGGAAAAAAATCGCGAAAATTTCGGACCTTAACCCTAATTTTCTGCGATTTCGCGGAATTTCCGGTTTATGGTTCCGGAAAATGCGAAATTTCCCCAATGCAGAAAACCGAATCTTTTATCGCAACCCTAATTCAATACCGAATTAAAACAGAATACCGAATTAAAAATAGAATTTTGGCATTATTTTGCAACTTGAATTTTTGATAGCAATGCAGAACTAATTCGGAAAAAGACCATGCTAAATTAAGCAATCGATTCCCAAATCAGAATTACCCTGTCAGCAGATCCACTTCATTGGTCTGATCCGATACCAAACTGTTGCATACTAGTGAATTCTTCACCAAGTATGGGCAGAACCAAAGATCAACCAATATAGGATGAGCATGTATACAGCGGAAGTCTGAGAAATGGACTGACTCACATAGACTGAACTCACCCAAACATCACTCAACACACAAGCAATCGTGAGATGGTGAGGTCTGAAGCCATACACAGACGATGCTCCAGGCCCCGTACAACCATACACAGATGAATGGTGGGAGGAGAGACGATGGAGGTGGGAGATATGGACAGCGCCAGATGCCACCAAGATAGAATCCAGAAGGTCACCGATATGGTAGCCCAAAATGTCACCGAACAAAGTCAGAATGTTGTGGACATAAGTCACCAATGTCGGAGGTACAGAATCCTAATGTAACCTATGTCCGATCTGTGATGCCGCCAGGTATCAATCCCAACTGTCTCCAGTGTCTCGAATCCGGTATGTATCACAGCCTCCTACCACCGAAGTATAATCACTGACCTCTGTCCAACTCATATCAATAGTCTCCAGTCTGAAGAAGAAGAAGAAGAAGAAGAAGAAGAAGAAGAGGTCTGAAGAAGAAGAGAAGAATCCGAGAGGGGCAGAGGGGAAGTGGAGGCGGAGAGAAGAGAGAGAGGGGGCGGAGGTGAGTCCTCCTGCCCGTGCCTTGCTGTCCAGATCGTACCTGCGATGGCAAGGTGGGACCTTGGCGCTGCTGAAGGCCGGCGATGAAGACCGGAGCTATGGACGCTCCTGCAGGTAAGTCGGCCACTGCTCCTCTAACCTCCACTGCGCTAATCTGTGCTAAGCGCTTGCGCTACTAAACTTAGCGCAACGCTTCCTCACGGCTGCGTTCCTCCGGAATGCCTTCCGAACAGACCGCCGCTGGGTACTAAGTATCATGGTAGCCTGTTCGGCCTTGCTGCTTCGAAACAGTGCCGTGGTCTGAACCGTCAGATCCGGTTGCCGATCTCTCGGCCTTGCGGGCGGCAGCCTCTAGGGCGCCGCCGGTCCAAACGGTAATATCGTTTGGACCATGTCCGCTTGGGCCTGTGCGACAGGGCCTACTGGGCGGCCTTCCGCATAAAGGTCCGGCCTTTGGACCGGACCGGCCTGGACTATCGTGTCCAGGTCTGTGGTACCCCTAGGCCTAGTGGTCGGGTCCGAAAGGGACCAATGTGAAATGCAGTATGTAACAGCGAGCGAGCAAAGAAGCGCAAGAAGTGTCAGCGGGTCCAGGCCACTAGGCTTCATGGTTACGCATCGACGATACACCTTCAGACTCTATGAAGTCGTCCTCGTGGTGCGGATCTATGTGAAAGTCCATTCCAGAGTCTCGATCAATCTCCCGATTGGTAGAAAAAAAGCAAGGAAAATGCCGAACAGTCCATGGGAAACGTGGTGACTCCTGCAGCTCAAGCGGAATGCCAGATCAGGTCCTTCGAGGTTCCGTTCACACGCACGAAGCAAATGAAGAGCTAAACATATCACCCTTGGCCGCGCCCCACTGCTTAAGTACTTACGAAGCAGCTGGTCACAGACATGCTGAAGTGAGGTTATTTTGAAAAGGTGTCCCAAGGCTCTTGGATCGCCGCCAAAAAAAACGGAAGGTGCTGGAACTCGTTCGAATGTGCAAATCGATCCACAGAGGTGCACCCGTTACAGGTAGGAACAAAAATGTACCGGACCGGTCCATGTCGTCCAGATCAGGTCCAAAAAACGAGGAGGGAATCGAACGATACGGAAGGGACGGGAGGATGGAAATGGTGTTTGAAGAATACATGGAATCAACCGATCAAACTAAGAAAAGGAAAAACAAAAAAGAAAAACCAAAAAAAGGAAAGGAAAATGGGAAAAAAGAGGAAAGAAAAAAAGAGAAAGGGAAAAGAAAAAGAAAAAAAAGGGGGGAGGGGTTCTTTGATACGGCGTGCACCGGTAGTGCACGGCGGCAGACCATCTTTCCCCGAGGTCGCCGGTTCAAGGACCGTGCTGTGTTTATGGGGGCAGAAAGGCAGGGGTAGGCCTCAGGCAGTGCAGGGGTAGTGGAGTGGTAGGGGTTTGTGTGTGTGTGCAGGGGTGCAGGATGGGGGAGGTGGGGGGGTAGGGATGCAGGATGGGGCGGAGGGAATTTATCATGTGGTGTCAACCAGAATCTGCCATCCTTCTTACCACCCCCCTTTTTGGAATCCGAGCAAAGACAGCTCCTTCTCATCTCCTGTCTCCGTAGTCCCGCCTGAAATCCTCTTCTAGATCCACCTCTTCTAATGTAGGCAGGTTTTTCGTACCTATGTGTGTGTGTGTGTGTGTGTGTGTGTGTGTGTGTGTGTGTGTGTGTGTGTGTGTGTGTGTGTGTGTGTGTGTGTGTGTGTGTCAAAGTGTTTGTCTTTCAGCTGGAATCCAAAATGCCGAAAGAGTCTTGTGTACGGCTGTGTGAAGATGAAGATGGCAGAGTTCATGTCCAAGATGCCGTTTAAAGCAGTCACACGTTGGCCGTCGCCGCACCGCACACGAAACGAAAAACGAAACGAGTGCATCTTCCGGCAGAAAATGGCCAGGTTCATCGGTTTGCTATAAATAGTAAGGAGTGTATTTTGCCACCTTTCGTGGCCAGATGCACATGTTTCGTTTTCGTTTCGTGCGCCGTGGGGCGAGGCCCATTGTCAAGTTGATTCTACCTATGGGACAACAAACTCACATTAAGTAGGACTGACTGACTTTCAGGGATGTATGTCCAAAACGTCCAAGTGTGGGTACAGCCTACGAAGTTCAAATGTGAACATGCAGCCTCAGAAGATAATGGATACATTCCATACTTGCAGTGCACTTAAGCGGTGCGCCGTGCTGTGCGCTGCGCCGTGCGCCATGCGCTCACGGGTGATGTGTGCGCATGTGCGCACCGCGCGCACTGAGCACGCACAAGCAGTGCGCTGGAGTGCGGCAGAGTGACCCCCATGCCCAAAATCTGCGGATGTGCCTTTTTTTTTTTTTTTTTTTTTTTTTTTTTTGTGTGTGTGTGTGTGTGTGTGTGCCGTTGATACAGGCGTTTGTCTGCTAGGACACCATTCTCCTGACACTATCGGATCGAACAAAAAGCCTGTATCAACGGACACTACCGATTCTCGACCGAGGGCGTTTTCTTCAGCCCGATAGGCCCATTGCTTTTCCTTTTTTTTTGTTTTATTTGTTTTTGTCTTATTTGGGAAACAGTTACAGCCTGTTTACTGACAGGGCCTCGCTCCACTGCTCTCCACATGCACAAAAGACCAAAATATGGCGGTGTATCTTTCCATGTTCTAGCGGGAGATTCATTCTCATTTTGCACATTTGGAGAGTGGTGGAGCGAGGCCCCAGGCTACCGTTGTATGGCCCTCGCTCCACCACTCTCCAAATGTGCAAAATGAGAAAGAATCTTCCGCTAGAACATGGAAAGCTACACCGCCATATTTTTTGTCTTTTGTGCATGAGTAGTGGAACGAGGCCCTTGCATCGCACTGGACTACAGCTGGACTTGAAGCTTACTTGCAGCCCTCATGTGACAGAGGCACTACAACGGACGTGTGTAGTTGAGAGAGGCCCTGCGGATCCTGGCGGCAGGTAGGTTGTAATAGGGCCTCACTCGACTACTCTCCAATTTGTGCAAAATTAGAATGAATCTTTCACTAGAACATGGAAAGATACATCACCATATTTTTTGTCGTTTGTGCATGTGTATAGCTACTGCCTGTTTCCACGTTGTTGGTTTTCAACTTGTCACGGCCGTTCTCTTTCGCTTTTTTTTTTTTTTTAGCAAAAGCACCAATGAAACACAACGGTCAGTTCTGTCGTTTTCTATACCTGGAAGTAATGAGCTGAAAGCAACGGTTTCACAGACGCGTCCTCATCATGACCGTATTGGACCTCTGAAAGGGCTCAGATACACTGAAGATAGCATGGAGTTGTGTACAGCAAACATGACAACACACACAGGTTTTGGGGCCGCACGGCCCTGAAAAAAATTTGCGCGGGCAATGTCCTAATTTTGGCTGGGCGTGGGAAGTTCGATTCACCCCCTCCCCAACTTTTCTTTTTTTTTGGCTGACCCCGAATTTTGCCCATGCAGCGCACCGGGTGTGTGCGCCACGTGCGCAATGAGCAGTGCACCGCATGTGCGCGAGTGGCGCGCACGGGATGCGCCGCACGTATGATACATTCTCATGACGAGTGAGCACCAATATATATATACCGGGCAACATATACAGACAGGGGCGCAAGGAATATGAGCGTGAGCGATAGACAGAATCCAAGTTGCAAAATCACGAAGGAGCTCAGATAGTCATGAACCAAGTAGAGAGTGCAGTGCACCCAGGTACCGTCCAAATAAGAGCAATACAGTGAACTCAAATGTCAATGTCACCACTCTCTGGTCACAAAAACACTGTATCCAATGTCGCACTTACTGTCTGGCACCCAGCGCCCAACCTATCCTACTCAGCCGATCTAGCCTATCTACGTTCTCGCAACTGGAACACTCTGAAGCTGAAGACCAATGTTCGTGACATCAACACCAATGCCGATCACAAGCATACACCAGGTACGTTCTCTCGCCTCTCGTCATCAACCCTCGTCTCCCCACAGCATGCGCCTCCTACCTGAAGACCACCTTCGTCATCACCTGCCTTGCGCCCCAGGACCCCGGCTATGGCTGCTGTGCACCTGCTGCCCGTGCAGCGCCCCTCACCTCAGCGCCCGTGCGCGTGTCTGACCAGAAGCGCCCATGCAGACACTTGCGCAGCAACGCAGCCGTGTGCTCGCATTGCCTACCTAGGCCAGAATGCCCCTGCCTGGGCTGGCCTCTTTCCTTTATGGAAAGTGCAGCTCCTATGTGTGTCTGCCTGGGCCTGGCTGGGGAAGTTTCCATTAGCTTCCAGTCGGGCCCCAATCTCTGCACCCAGGTCCACCTCTACAGTTAAGCTCCTGGGCCCTTTTCGGTTGGGCACGTATCGGAAGCCTCTGAGGCTCCAAGGGTTAACCACATTCTCATTGGCTCGCGGAGATTGTGTGACGACAATGCTGCTTTCTCATTCATTTGTGGCCGTTGCGTGATGTGTTGGCCTCATGCTGCGTGTGCCCAGGGCGCAACCACCAGGCCCTGGGCTCAACAGTACAGTGCAGTCCTTGTTTTCTGGAAAGAGCCTGGAGGCTCACGTTTCTGTGGAACCAACTGGCATTCTGCAACTGTCTGTATACCCAATGTTACGATCCTGGCCAATTTCGAAGTCCACAATCATCAGAAAGTACAATGTTGTCCAATTGCGAAAAGAAATGAATGAACTTGAGCCCAATGCCGTCCGATTGCAAAAGAAATGAAAGAACTTGAGAGGAGAGAGAGGGAAAGAAGAAGAAGAAGAATCAAGAAAGAAAAAAGAGATGATGTACTCCAGCATAGACCAAAGCCAAAGCTCTTCTTCTTCGCTCAACAACCTCCTCCTCTTTATCTCCTCCTCTCTTATTCAAACAATAAATAAACAATAATAATGTTGAACAGCTGAACCAGAATCAATGTCCGAATCCCACTTCTACTGCAGGCACAAGATGAGGTCCACCATAGCCATGGCAGCCCTTCTTCTTCCTCCACATATAGGCCGAGGCTATGGCGGACTACGGAGGCTTCAGCCTCCTGTGCAAAAGACAACCCAAAGCAGCTATACCGCTGCCCCACTTCAAGGTCATCACCCAGCAGCTATGCCGCTGCCCACTCAACCGCCATGCCTGACTCTGTCCGAGCTTCCTTGATGCGGCACTACCCCCACTGGCGCCTTCCTGACGCAGCGCCTAGCAAGGAGATGAAGATGGTGTCTACCATAGCCAGCAAGTACCTCGCCACTCTCCTCCATGGTCCCCTTTTCCCTCCTCCTCCTACCGGTAGAGCTCCACCATAGCCAAGGTGGAAGCTCCCAGCTTCTTCCTCCCAGCAGCGCTGTAGTGCCCAGCGCTACTCCAGCCAGCACTCCAGCAGTGTGACGCCCAACTCGCACACTGAAGAATGAGGCTGGGCTCTCCGCCCTGCCTCTTGATATAGCGGCCTACTTGCCTCCTGGGCGGTGACTTCCAGGCCGCTCGGCCTCTCCAAGCAAACGGTACTTCCTCCGTTTTGGAGGGAAACATCATTGCAGACCCTGATATTACCCGTACAGGCTCTAGACTCAGACTGGTTGGACTGGTACCGGCCTAGACCTACCCTACCGCTACTGGACTCCAAAAATGCCAACTTTGTCTTTTTCTGCTCGGCCTCCAGTACCCCCTCACGCCAACTGCAGTGGGGTGCAGAATCGGCCTACCGGCCTACTTGAGTGTTTTTCCTCTACCCCAAGGGCCTCAGGGCCGCTAGCTTCGCCACTTGAGTGTTTTTCCCTGCTACAACCCTCAGTGCCACGGCCACAGGTAAGTACCGGCCCTACGGGCCTACCAAACAAGCAAGTACCCTTGCGGGTCCCACACATACTCTACCAACAAGCACTCAGACAGGCATGCAGGTCACAAGCACGCACACACAGACAGACTTAGAAAACACAGCAGAATGCGGAAATCTCAGCAAGGCATCCATTCCATCGGCAGAACTTCAGAAATCAGCAGTGTTCTCAGTCTGTGTTTTGACGGGTCATTTCACTACCCCCCCCTCAAGAGCAAGGTCCCTTAGAGCGAGTAACTCATTCAGAGTCCTTGCACAATGCATCGTAGGCGTAGATAGCGAAGAGAGATTGGGTGTGTTCCGTAGGAGTCAGGGTAGCAGTGAATTTTGGTTGCTGTTCAGAACTTATCAATCGTTCGTAGGCGTTAACGATGCGCGGTGCACTTTGCAGCAAGTCTTTCTTAGCGATCCAGTAGAAGTCATCCAACGGATGGTATAGAAAATGGACTTTGTACTGTCTGTTTCTTCCCTTCCCATTGTGTTCGACAATCCTATCAATCTCATGACCACCGTTGATTGCGCGGGGAATCATTGATTCTCGATACTTGAAGGTTTCAGGTGATTCATACGGAAACAACTTTGATGCGTGAAAGACTGGGTATGTGCGCAGATGCGCAGACACATCAATCGTGTAAGAAGGACCGAAAGAATCACTCCCTACCTGGTTCAAGACCTTCCATGGACCGTAGTACTGAGGAAGAAGCTTTCGTGATACACCTTCTTCTTCAGAAAACTCAGACATTTTGACCCAGACATAACTTCCCACGGTGAAAGGTGCAGGCTGGCGCTTTTTGTTGGCATGTTTAATCATGGCACTGTGTCGCCTTTCCATAGCTGCAACAGCAACTTTGAGCAGGCGATCAAACTTAGCGCTGTAGCCTGGCTGGCCAGGTGTTAGGCCAGGTGGCTGTTCAGGGAACAAATAAGATAGAGGATTGCGGATTTTCCATCCAAGATGCAGCCGGTTAGGCGTCATCACGGTGGAGGAGTGGATGGAGTTGTTGTACAACCCCTGCACAATCGGCAACTCCTCATCCCAAGAGTTCTGATCAGGTATGATTAGAGCCCTGAGAAGTTGGATCACGGTCTGGTTGATCTGCTCGGCCAGTCCATTGGCTTCGGGATGTCGACCAGACGTCATCTTGAGTTTCATGTCGTAGGTTTGGAAGGTGAAATCTTTCCAATCTGCACTTATCAATCTGGTGTCCCGATCACTCACAAGAGTCTTCGGGGGGCCATAATGCAGAATGTATCTCTTGTTAAACTCATTGATCACAACACACACTCAGCCACAAACCTTTGTGCCATTCTTTTCATTCCAGGCCACACAAACTTTTCCAATAAATTCCCGTATGTCTTCTCAACACCGAAGTGTCCACTCCGACCATGAGCCAGATCCAAGAAGTGAGTCATGATCGGTTCATGGTTGGGCACACACAATCGGTCATGCTTCCCGTAGCGTCGGAAGAGAAGGACCTTACATTTATGGAAATGAGGCTGACTGCTAGGGTCAGCCCGAATCTGCTCAAGGATGGGACTGAGTTCCGGATCCTTGGCAGTATGCTCGATGAGTTCCTCCTTCAAATTTTTACGCAGGTCGTAGGAACCCACAAGGCAAGTCATGTACTCCGGGTGGCGCGACAAAGCATCCGCAACGCGATTGTAACAACCTTTCTTGTGCTTAATCTCAAAGTCATACACAACAATTTCATGCAGCCAGCGGGTCAGTGTAGTTGAGGGATTGTTCTGTGTCTGAACCCATTTCAAGGTCTCATGGTCTGAGAACACTTTGAAATGACAACCCAAGAGGTAGTGCTTCCAGTGGTCTAGTGTCTCTCTCAAGACATAGAGTTCTCGCATGTACGTGGAGGCAGCTACCTTGTGACTGGGCATACGTTTGCTGTAAAATTCTAGCGGACGTAGGTCGTCGCCGTCATCTTGTTGCAGCACTGCACCAATCCCATACAAACTGGCATCCGTAGTTACTACGAATGTGAGTTTGGGATCTGCAATGCGGAGCACCGGATGACTCACCAAAGCCTCCTTCAATGCTTGGAAGGCTGTCGTGCATTCCCCATCCCATGTGTAGGACACATTCTTGCTGGTCAATCTAGACAGCGGACGGGCGATGATAGAGAATTTAGGTACAAACTTACGGTAGTACGAGGCAAGACCAAGAAAAGAACGCAACTCGCAGACATTTGTCAGACAACCGGTGCTCAAGGTAGATGACGCTGTCTCTCCCAAACTCAAATTTCTCCAAGTTGAGATGGAGCTGCACTTCCTTGAGGACCTGCAACACTTTCTCAAGATGTCTCATGTGCTCCTCCATCGATTTGTTGAATATGAGTATGTCATCCAGATAAACAACAACAAACCGGTTAATCTGATGGCGGAACACTTTGTCCATGAGACTTTGAAAGGTGGGTGGTGCATTCATGAGGCCGAAGGGCATGACGATAAACTCGTACAACCCATCGCGATTTTTGAATGCGGTTTTGTGCTGGTTGGCAGGATCGACTTCAATCTGGTGTTAGCCAGACTTGAGATCGATCTTGCTGAAGACTTTGCACCCACCTGCAACATCAAGCAAATCATCGATGCGTGGCAAAGGATATGCATTCTTTCTTGTGATCCGATTCAATCCGCGGTAATCAATACACATCCGCAATTTGCCTCCTTTCTTAGGGACAAACAAAACCGGTGCACCAAACTCAGACTCACTTGGTTTGATCCATCCCTTCCCAATCATCTCATCAATCTGCCTTCGCAACTCCTCCAATTCGCCTGAGCCCATTCGATAGACACAACCTTTTGGAGGAGTGCTACCTTCAATCAACTTGATCTTGTGTCGGACCGGACGCACGGGAACTCCATGCGGTTCGACAAGACTTCATGAAATCGGTTGAGACACAGAACAATCCCTGACCCGCTGGCTGCATGAAATTGCGCGCGGATGTAACGTTCGTTAATGTAGAGTTTGAAGAAGATCAACTCCGTTCTCCCTTGCGCGCGTTCTTGCTTCATATGAGCCCAACGCGTCAACAGAGCAAGGAAGTCAATTTCTTCCGACTCTACCTAAGGCTCCTTCTTAGGATGTGTATCTTTTCAACCTTGGAATCAGCATCAGATGGGGTTTCGGGAGAGGTTTGCTGAGTGGGATCAAAATCCAAAGAAGGATTTGTACTTACATGTTCCGCCTCTCCATCTGTAGAGTGTGTTGATGATGCCTCTACCCCCGTTGCTGGTTTCCCTGCTGCAATCTGAAACATTGTTGGACTGAATGTCCCGGTTTGGTGCAATGCAGGCAAACCCCTTTCTTCACCCTGTGTTTCCACTCACTTTCACTGATTCGGAGATCTACCCATGGTTTTGTGGCAGGATCTTCCAGTTTGGGTGGAATCTTCGCTCCCTTGGGAAGAAGGGTAGTGTTAGTGTTGTTCTTCATCGTGGTCCTCGGTCCCTTACTTTTAAAGGCAATCTTTTTAAAGACATTCATAGATTCTTCGTCATTTACATACTCAGACTCATGGGCTGACAAAGAGCAAGATGCCCCGCAGTCTTGCTCTTGATCGTCATCAAGAGAAGATTCATCCACGAGGGTCTCCTCGTCAGCCTCAAGCAGATCGTGTGATGCAAAACTGTTGCTGCCTGGAAACCGTTTGCGGCTAGTGGCCTTTTTGCCACTTGATCCACCCGGGAGGTCTTGTGCCTCCAGCTTGACTAAGTCCCGCATGAGGGTAAGCCAATTTGTATATGCGCTAAGTCCGAGCCCTAGGCGATCTTTTAGAGTAGAGGGGACCGTACCTTTTATCACATCCAAACAAGACTGCGCAGTCATCTCCAGATCCGGAGTAGCGAAGAGTTTACTAACATACTGTTGCAGGCTGTGCATGGTGCCGGTCCACTTACTGTGCTTGAGCTTGTCAAGCTTGAGTCTTGCTTTAGCTGCAGCATGTGGATCAGCATATTGTCTGATCAAGAGATCCTCAAGTGCGGTATTAGGCGTAGCCTTCAGCCATTTGTTCAGGTCTATTCTCTTATAGCCTGATTGGACAGCTTGGGTTTCCAGAAAACCCCTCAAGACGGGCTCCACATTAGTCCCTAGGATAGACGACTCAGTGGACGGGGGTGTCCCCAACACATCAAAGTAGGATCGCATGGAGCTGATCCAAGACTCGATATCGTCCTTTCCGTCATACTTGGACGGAATCTGCGCCGCCTTCCTATCGATGTAAGCAAAGTTGCCGCTTGGCCCAGCCATTGTTGGGTCTGGACTCGGGACAGTTCCAGAATTCCCTGCACTACCACTTGCTGCTGCAACAACAGCAGCAGCAGCAACGGGGTCTGGACTTGCTGCAGATCCGCTTTGGCTGTTAACCACACTCAAAAAAGAAGAAGAAGTAGACGGAGAAGAAGTGGACATAGTCAGAGGGGCAAAACTGGACTGACACGCAGCATTGGAAGCAGGGTAGGTGAGTGGAGAGACGATCTGAGCCTGCTGCGAACTAGCAAATTGTTGCAGCTGATCGCGGTGTTGCTGCACCATTTTGGCCATGTCTTCGCGCAACTCCTTGAGCTGCTTAAACACTTGTGCGAGTTGGTCAGTATGATCCTCAGCAACCTGGACCCCTGCTAAGGCTGTGAGGAGGGGAACCGTTTTCTCTTCTACCTCCTCATCAGTCAGAGCGGACACGGTGCAAAGGACGACCTCGTGAACCTGCACCTTATCCCTTCTCTCTCTCTCTTTCTCTTCCTCCTCTCTCTTCAAGGCTTTCTCGTAAAAGAACTGATATTGCGGTTTTTCTGCCTCAGGGGCAGCGTCCATCTGCAGTTTCCAATCTGCTGAAGATGCCATGATGGAGGATGAGGGTGTCAGTAAGACTCTCAAGAGGGGTCCGTACTTCCTCTCATCTTTGTGACGAACACTCCTCTTCCCTTTCCTCACTCCCTCAAGAGCATCACTCAATAACTTCTCTCTTCTCTCTCTCTCTCTCGTTTGTGACCGTGTAGACGCAGACATTAATGAACCCAATGAAAGAAACAGCTTGAAATCATTCAGAAGAGAAGGTAGAACTCCTAGCCGGAGCGGCAATTCATTTGGACTGGAGAGCAGTCATCAAAAAAAAAAAAAAGATCAGAGAGATCTGATCCAGCCACACAGTCTGGACTGACTACGTATGGGGTCCTCCCAAGCCTAGCCAGCCTCAGCTCCGTGAAAACATAGCAAATCACATTCAAGATGTACAACGAAATGCAAGAGAGAATTGAGTGGTGTCCAAGGTGCGAGTCAGGCGGCGGATCGTGCTGTAAAGTCTGATAAAACGTCCCAGCGGAGATCCCCTCCGCAGCGAGTGTCCTGGTCCGAAAGCATAAAGTCTGTGTCCCAATCAGATAGAGCAAGGTAACTGACGTCAACAGATTTGGCCTGAGGGGCCCTTCTTGTTTGGGCCCGGTCCCACTGAGCCCAAATGGTCCCAGTGGAGTCAGAACCGAGTCCCAACCAACAACAGTTCCACAGAGACCTACTCTGTCCCTACTTAATTGAAAAACAAAATTTTGCCCCAGAAAGAACCTGTAGACTACAACCATTCAGAATGAAATAAACAAAGCACTTTAGAGAGATTTCACATGGCAAACAAGATACTCCATTCATTCACTCGTCAGGTAGTAGGCAGTTCACACACCTCACACACAATCAAGACTATGGAGGATGGAAGAAGAACCCAGAGAACCCCAACAGGCAGTCAATTCCATGCACACACTCATGGGCACCCTGGTGGCACGACACTTACCCGAGTGGTCGGGCTCTTGAGATGAAAAGAACTCACCCCCCTCTCACATAGTCCTCCTGACCCAATTAGCATCCTCTACACTAGTGTCCTATCATCTAGGAGGGTCAACATCTACCCCACAGTACAAAGTCGGATCCCCCGTCAATATTGAAGATCAAAGCAGCAACTTGCAGTCCGTAGGTGCAGATATGGCTGCCACCCTCAAGCTCGCCTACTTGAGGGGAGCCCTAAAGTCACTCCTCGTCTTCCTTG